TTGGGACTCATTGGGCAGTACGCACCCACTAGGTTTAGAACCCAGGACCTTCCAGTGCTCCGACGCTTGCTAGTGACTGGCTACAGAAAGAAGTTGCCCGGAGTTCTAGTGAGAAGTCGTGACCAGTGAGGTCCAACTAGTCAAGTGTGAGGATGGATTTCCCACCGATGGTTGATGGTCACATTAAAATCACGAGTTGGTAGGAGTTAGACTTCATGGGCCACTGAGTCGGATCCCAGTGGCTGAATGGTATACTAGCTTGCCTTGTAACCGGGTGGGTGCGTACTGCCGATGATTCCCAAACTAGGATGAAACAGCTGTCCAGTGCTCCCTGGTTTTCAATGCTTATCAGACTGATATCAATCCGTGGTCAAACTCGTAAAAACAAATCTAATCCTTACAAACCAAACACTTGAAAATTGACATTATTATCACCCTTTCACACTTATTGTACATAACAAAAAGTTACCTATAACCTTTAATATATTTTTTTTGTTTTTGCTGTTATCGAGTAAATTAGATGTAATATTGTAACAAATGCTGACAATTCCACACTGTATCGAAAGCACATTTTTTGGAATTAAGCAAATCATTATTATTATATAAGAATATTAAGATATTCTCGACACCAAGTCTGTAACATGTTTCTTTCCTTTGTATATTTTAACGTTATACTACTTCTGTTGGAGTCTCTCTTTGTGCTTTGGCAAAGTGTGAACACTTAGTTCGACGCATATTTATCCTATGTTTCAATCTGCTTCCCCTAACAGTCTCTTTTGTATTATAATGCATCACGCATACTCTTATTGACATCAGCACTATCCTTTGCCTTGTGTAACTTTTGTGTTATTCAAGTTACTTAGGTAAACAGTAATTTAATAACTGACAGTAGTAACAAAGTATCAATATCTGATGGTGCATAGGTTAACAATAGACTTAAATTTGGGCTACCGAAAAATCCCATTGATATTTCACAGATATTTTCTCCCGTTCAGTTTGTTTAAATCTGATAAAATATGCCCTTTAATTACGTTTTATACTCTGGCGAGCATTTAATATGTTTACACCTTGCTGATTAGCAAGTTTCTAGTTACCGTGAAAAAAAACATAATCTGAGGTTGGTGAGTATTGCAATGTAACAGATAGTTGTTAGTGGGTTGTGTCCTTGGTTCACAGAATGGATTCCTGTGCCTTTTCTAATTGCCATTCAGCCAAATTAACATGCATTTACCGAAGAAGACAAAAGAGAGACACCACAATTTCTTGGTTTGCACTTCAAGCCAGGCAGAAGTGTTTCAAATGGTCTACTGTCACATGATATTTTAGTTTGAAGATCTCTGATGAAGGGAAAATGGCATGAAATAAACTATGCTGAAAATTTTGTGCCATATATAAACGCTGTAAAAAATAAAGCTGTTATTATTATTATTTTTAAAATAGCCTTTTTTACTGTGCACCAATTCCCTGACTGGCTAAGTTTTCAAAGCAGAACTTTTCCCAAAAATTGCGGTAGTTTAAATTGCTACACTCTCCATATGGCGCACAAGAGTAAGGAAAAAAGATTCAAAGAGACTAAAATGAATTCGAAAAGTGCGAGCGAAAGAATAAACACATGAAGAACAATGAGAATTTGATGGGTCTAGGAGATCATAAAAAGTGAATGAATTTACATCCCTAACAGTCTCTAGCAGTCGATTCTTAGCATCTTGCGGATCTCAACCAGACAGTCTACACGTCTCTACGTGGTTCACGGACAGATGACGTTTAGATTTGACCGCGCCTAATTCTCTTTCCAAAGCTAATCCCATGTCAGCTAACATTGTTCGACGTGAAAACCGATGGTTAGATATGCGCGACATATATGCTATCACCAACTTAGATGTTATATAAACTTAGGAATACTATTGAAAAGGGATTAGATCACAGAACCAAAACTTTTTTATATTTCTCGTCAAATTTTTAAAAGAAAAATTATTCGTTTCAAATGAGATCCACTATGTGTATTGTATATAATAAATATTTTAATAAGGGATGAGAAAAGGAAAGGCGAAGAAAGCCTGTGCACCAATCAGTTGGAAGACAGCAAGATAAGTAAGATAATAAGCTAACAAAAAACATAATAATAAATGACTGGCGTTTTGCTAGAATCTCAAGCGATCTATAGGGAAATCATTTTTTTTCAACAACAAAAAATGTTATTCTAAAACTATCTAAAACACTAGTGGAACAGGGTGTGTTTGATTAGATAAGCGATAAAAAACAAATTGAAGAATACGAGTATAAACAATCCTGTGAACCAGAATGAAAATTTTGTGTTAGAAGAATATACAGTTACGTGCAAACAAATACTAGTGCGCTTATTTTCCAACTAAAATAAAGTTATTCATTCCTATTAACAACAAGCCATAAAAAAGGTTAACCTAGAACCAAGGCAAAAATATAAAAAAGTTGACTTATGATTAAATACTATGATAAACAGAATCTCTTGCTGAACAAAAGAAACTTAATCACTATTAGTAGCATTTATATTACTAGTGAAGATGTGTCTTATTGGCTTAAACACTCGACTTTCAACCAATAGATCCTGAAGTCAAATACCTTCCAACCTAATTCAATCTGAGAAGCTGGGTGGCATTATATTAGCCCCGGCTCATAGCCTATCACACAAAAATCTGTGTGATTGACTGACTGACCGGCTGACTTAGTTTCAACATGGAAATTTGCATAGAAGTGCAGTTGAGTTCACATAGCCACACTCTATTTACCAAACAAAGGTAAACAAAAGAGACGAAGAATAAGAAATTCAAAAGAACCATAATGGGTAGAAATGTGCGGGATAAAGAATTGTAACACGAAGAAAAACATGAACCTGTAATGGATATGAGAGATTACAAACAGTGAATGCAACTGGACCATTGAGAAAGGTTTTAAGCAATACCACTAACAGTATCAAGCCACTCTTACTTAACATCTCGATGTAAATAGATCCTTTCAAAGTGTAGGCGCTTTGTGGTTTTCTCATACACTTATTCTCCTTTGTAAATTTACATAAAGCGAAAAATAAAAACAACACAAAATTCTGTGTTTCTGTTAACTAGAAATAATGTAACCCTTGCAAGTTATACGCAGCTGAAGAGAAACCAGCGAAATAACTGATGGCCTCATCTTATTCTGCGCAAATCTTCAAGGTTTTGCTTAAAACAAAGGGGAAAATGTATCATTCACCGTTGTTTCATTGAAATTAATTGAACAGTAGGGTGTTCATATAACTACTAATATGATCAGATGATATAAAAATACAGAGTTGGTTATGATAGAACATGTGCTGCGTTTTACGAATCACGGAGACAAAAGATCAATAGGAAGGGAAGTGATGCAACTAAGCGGAACAAACAAATACGGGAATTACGCAGCAACAGAAAATGAGGTAATGCAATAGAACCATCGTATATTCATTCTTTAGTGTGCAGCTATCACCATCCTATGAGCTTCGAGTTAGGAATCTTAAGAATGGATCAAATTTCAACCAGCAGCTTACAAGTCTGAACTTAATTACATCTGGCAAAATTTAAGCAGTCCGATGGCATCGCTGTAGCGCATACAGAAAAAAAATGGGAATTAGTAAACCGTTCTGTAATGTCACTGAAATTTATAACCATTATTATCGTTATAACGTCAGTTTTATGACCCGTAGTAATTTTTAGACACTATATATTTGATATCAGTTAGAGGACCACTGAAAACCAGGGAGTGCTGGACAGCTGTTTCATCCTAGCTTGGAATTCGTCGGCAGTACACACCCACTGGGGATTGAACCCAGGACCTTCCGGTGACAAGGCAAGCTCGTATACCATTCAGCCACTGAGACCCGACTCAGTGACCCATGAACTCTAACTTTTACCAACTTGTGATTTTAATGTGACCACCAACGAATGTCATCGGTGGGAAATCCATCCTCACTCCCGACTGTTTGGAACCTACTGGTCACGATTTCTCACTAGAACTCCGGGCACTTCATTCTATAGCCAGTCACTAGAGAACATCAGAGCACCGGAAGGTCCTGGGTTGTAAACCCAGTGGGCGCGTACTGCCCAATGAGTCCCAAACTAGGATGAAACAGCTGTCCAAGACTTCCCGAGTTTCAATGATTCTCTAAATGATATCAATCCGTAGTCTAAACTGAAACAAACAGAATCCGTCTTAACTAATTTTTGAAAACTACGTATTAGTACAGTTTCTTGGAATGAAAACTTTCCCCATAACCTTAGCTCCCCGATTAGTATAGTGCGCATAGATATCAGTGGATATCAATGCTCATCTTTAGCATTGTTTCAAAAAGTAAGACCAAGATATAAAAAAGTTAACGATAACCAAGTCAGGACACAATATCAATTTTTCAAGTATGTGACTGTCTGTATGGTCTGTGTAGATGGGTATAGATTACTTAGTGTCAGGTCAATCAGGAAACAATATTTGTCTGGTGAATTAAGTTGCCAAATTACAAATACGTATTGCTGAATAGCTGATGAATTAAGTAGTGCAAACAGCTCAATAGATTTTAAAAAAAGATTCTAAAACCGACTTTCATGCAATAATATCATTGATGAATATTTGAAGCTAGCGCACCAATCAAGAATCTATTGCCCAACAAATACCCTGAAGTAAATCGAGATGTATCGGATACACTCTGAGGAGACTGTTAGGCGAAATAGCGCGCCAGGCAATCACTAGAATGGGACCCGAATGAAAAAAGACGAGTTGAGCGTTCGAGTATAGTGTGGAGGAGACCGTGTGAAGAGGAAATGAGAACAGATGGGTAATTCTGGAGCAAACTAGAGAGAGACTGCAGAGAACAAGACAAAGTGGATATACGCTGTTGAAAACAAATATTCTTCTAGGAACCTAAGGGAATAATAATATACGCGTGTTTCCTTACAAATGTGACGCATATTACCAACATAAAAACATAAATTTAGTTTAAAAAACACCACAAAACTAACTTGAGCGAGATTCACATTGCAGTAAGCTAATGTTTTGTATCCTAAATTCATTGCTTTACTTTTGTACTTTTTACGACGCTGAAGTAGAATTTGCAATGTATTAGAATCTCGTGTCAGAAGGTGTGAGTACTGAATATTGCATGTGAAATCGATAAGAACTGAGCCGCCGCCACCACCACTAGGCATGGAAGCATTCAAACTGGAATTAGTACAAGGTTGGCCGGTTGATTCACTATAACTGACTTCATTTGGGTTGGTAGACAAATTGTTAGAATGCGCATTTGTTGAAACAACTTGAGGCTGTGGAGCTTTTGAACAAATAAGGGTGATTTCAGGTGATCGTAAAACTCGACGAGCTGTACCTCGCATACGAACAACAACATAAAATCCTGTGTTAGCGCATTCTGGTTCAATAGGCCTATCCAATATTATTTGTACCAAACTAAGACTACAAAGTCTGAAAAGAGAAACGTTTACTTTTAATACATTTAATTTATCAAACATTTACACAAAGAATTACTAAAAATACAATATTGTAGTCTATTGTTAGCTTAAAGCTGCAAGCTTAATTCTGGTCGTTGTATCATGCGTATATTGCCCAAAATATATAGAAAGCTGCACAGAACAGCCTTATTGAACCTTGGCAAGAAAACACAACATAGATGTTACTCTAATGACAACACACACAATCTAAGAAGCATGTTAAATGATACTAATTGAGACTTATTTACTGAAAAAGTTCCAGATGACACAATCACAAACGTGACATCCTATCTCAAATTCTGTCTTAATATGTGTTGTCCAGAAGAGACACTTCTTAAGATTTGACCGCTTCTCCTCTTCTCAGCTGAAGAACGCCGAGAAAAAAAGGTTATACAAAATGAAAGACAATCCTGGTGAAGAGACTGAACATCTTAAATAAATCAGAAATTGGATCTATAACCGAGAGTTCTTATCATGCAAAACCTCATCAGATATGAGGAAGCTATTTAAGGAAATCACTGAGGGTTAAGCAAATAAACAACGATTCTTCTACAGTTTATGCTAGTACTCTTAATAAGTCCTTCATGTGTCGTCTAGCTGCTGTTATGATCTCAAATGGTAGAAGTGAAAACAATGACCGCTTCTCCAGTCTTAACTCAAACGATGTCTTCAAGTGTCTCGAATACTTGAGACCTACCCAGTCCCTTGGTCCAGGTGGCGTGCCAGCTATTATCCTCAATAAATGTGCTGACATATTCTGTAATCCTCTCACTGGTATTTTGAATGAATGATTTTCTAGTGACACTGTGCCTGCTTCTTGGAAGGACATTAAAATTGTTCCTGTGAATAAATCACCAAGTGGACAAACTGTTGAGTTCAGACCTATTGTGATTACTTCACCCTTTTTTAAATAATAGAATGACTGCTTTTACTTTTTTAAATTTGAATAACTTATACTGCGCTTACGATACCCAGTTTATGTGATATGGATTATTTTCTCTTTATCTTAGCACCAGTGATGCAAGTATTGGAAGAGGAAGATTAAAATATTACGAACTTTTGACCCAGTGTAACTTTCTCCTATTGTGAGCGCCAAATAACCATGAGGTAGAAAATGTTGGTTTTGGAGGGAATGTTAGGTGAATGAGACTCAATTTATAAGATTAGGTATCTCTACAGACTGGTGTGGTTGTTACATATGCTAATAATGCCTTCCTTGAGAAATAATGCTGACTGTAATGGAGTTGGTTTCGCAAGAACCAAGAGTTGGTCATACCAGAAGGCGCAGTCTCCAGTGCTTTGTTAGGGCTGAGTCTGAAGTAGTCTACCAGCGGGAAGCTTTTAAAGATGGTACTGACAAACACTTGCAAGACCACAACATGACACAGATTACTCAATAGTGGTATATCAACACTCCGCCAACTTTTAGATTTTAGACATTTTCATATTTTAAAATAAGTGCATGTCCTTAAGTACCACAGTAATAATAGGATCTAAGGAATTGGTTTTCTTAAGGATACTTCCAGCTTTTATTGCTCAGCTAATGCTTCATATTCAAAATAGATGGTAAAACTTTTGTCTTTGGAGCAGCCCAAATCAGTTGTACAAGTAACATTATAAGATGGATCACTGGCTGAACCAGCTGATTCGGCGAGTTATTTACAGACGTCTATGATCTAGGAATAAACCACAATGCCATTAAAATAAACAGCAGTACACCTCTGAAAACAGGTGAAAGTAACTTTCGTTAAGGTTACCCCTGATAAATCTGAAATCCTCCATCAAATCTGAAACAGTCCGATTAATACAAATGCATACGAGTTCCCTTCTACTATGACAGATTAACAAATACCAAGTGCAGCAGAAAATAGAGCTCCTGATATGAAATCACACGAACAAATTAAAAAGCACCTAAAAAGTGTACAAGACAGTTAAAAAAGACATAAATTGCTCCACAGTTTCATTTAGGGAGCTCTTAGAAGTATATATGCAAAACGCTAACAGGTTAACAATCCTGTCTAAGTGTAACACAATAATTTCCATCACTAGTGGTATTTCGCTGTTTGAAAAATGGCTTGATTTCACTTTACGTTAAGTGGGATTAGTGAAAAAATCCAAGCAACAGTAGGGTCAGCGAATCATAAAACTGAGACATTTGTCAGTTCCAGAGGGAAATTTAGTGACACAAAACACACAGGCTATGTTAGTTTATATAAAGAAAGTTTTTGTTCATACATGCAATATAGTTTAGCAGGTATGAACAATTTCCCAAGCTTAGGAAAATTCTAGAGTTATCCTAGACTATTCTTCAATAATGCCTTTTTATGGTAAATGAAGATTTTATCTACCCACTATGTTCTGAAATAACGCTGATCGTGCTTATAAAGAGAGCTGGATGCTGAATTAAGTCTTTTTGTTCTGAAGTAACACTGGAACAACGCTGATAAGCAAACCCAGTAGGTTTCAATGTACTCCTGAAAATGCCTAGAAAAAGAACACGGTGCTGAATTAGTTCCAGTCATGCTGAAAACCAGCACGGAGTTCTAATCTGTCATTAAAGAATCTATTTCAGAACAGATTCAGAATTTACTCCAAATAGAATGTTAGAAATATTACAGAATTAGTGAGATTTAATTCAGAATTATATAAAGTTTGGGTTAATAAAAATATCAACTTGAACATTCCATAAATTTCACAGAAAACAAAATTGTCACCACTCATTGACACTTCAAAGATATCAGTACCTTGGAATAGCATTTGATGAAGACTTTTCGGCTTCCCACGAAGCAGACATTTTCATTGAAATCATCCCAGTGCTCGACATTCCTATAAGCAGCTGTCACAAGGTCATCCAGAGCTAAAACCTGTTACCGCGCTTTCATATCCAATATCCAATATCAACTCTTATGAGCTAGTGTGAACCAATTTGATTTCTTTGTGCTCTCTTCTTGATTGTGGGGCAAAAGTTTCTGTTTTTGTGTAAACTTTTACGTAGGTCGTCCCGCCACTTGACTGTCGTAGCTCTGGTTGACTCTAAATTTTACGTAGTTTGTAGTGTACGGTATGTTAAAACCATGTCACTACTATGGGTGTAGTTGATCAGTTCGCTTGTTTATCGTCTGGTGTCGTCAACAAAAGGGGACATGATGACATTACCAGGTATAATTAGTGCAGGTTGTGTAGACTAAATGACAAAAAGAAATAAAGACGTAAACCCAGACTGCTAATAAAATTTGAAGTTGATATATATGTATATATATAAACTCCAATAACAATAACTACAGTAGTATAAGGGACGTAGTAGTTGGAGTAATCAGGAGAGTAAGACAAGAGGGAAAATTAAGAAGTAAAATGATCAGTGTAGGTGTCTACCTTTTATTAGGGTGTGCGATTTTAAGGGGATAGGCCGTTTAGACGCTGTCCTTGTGTTGCTGCATGATTGTCTAAACTCCGCTCAAAGCTGTCCACAGACGCTGCCGCAGCTACATCTGTCGGTAAAGAGTTCCTGGGATGACAAACTGGAAGTGAAAAGAATGCCCTTGTTTGGGTGTTTCTGGTCATTTGTAGTCCTATAGGTAGTAGCTAAGCCTACGGTAGCCATGTGTGAAAAAACCTGATTTGTTTAGCCGTCCATCTTATGGTTTGTTTTGGTGATCCATCACCCCTTCTGTCGCTCGTCTTTGGACTTTTCCCAAAACGTTCGCGCTTCTCCTAAGTAGTGGAGGTGCAATGATAATGTGTACTTCAAGCTGTAGTCTTATGCATGTTTTGTACAGTCATAGAAAGAGTGAGTGCACCTAACTGTCTACGTGTAAAGTTTATTACCGCAAATGCCTTTGCTACATGCCCCGTGTGATTTACGCTTGTGTCCATTTTTCATGTTAAAACTTAGGTCACTCTCTGACGTTGTGCAGGACAAGTTTTCTCCGCACAGGTTGTAACATATATTCTGCAGCCTACAGGTGTGTAGTTGCACTACTTTGCACTTTTTCAGGTTGAAATTCATAATATTTGCCCTCATCAAATCTCCCAGATGTTTTAGGTCTACCTCCAGCCTATCTGAGTCTTCCGAGAGCTTTGTTGCCCTCCAAATCTCTACGTCATCCGTGTAAACAAGAGTCCGGCAGCTTAGGGAGCATAGTATGTCTTTGGTGAAAGCCAAAATCATCAATGGCCATAGGATAGAACCTTGAGACATTTTTGATGACGAGCTGTGCCAGGATGATCGGACATAATTGACTCTAGTGCACAATCTCCTTTCAGTTATGCAGTCTTTCAAACATGACAGAAGCGGTCCTATACCCGCCCGACTTATTTTGTGTAGTAGGTCACGATGAACTGCGTCAGATTCATTTTCACATTTTAGGAAGATCACATGGACTGGAATACTCATATCAGACAATGATATTCAATCTTTCCAGGCTGGCGGTAGGTTTGTTGCACAGGGTCTACTCTTCCTGAAACTATGTTTTGCTTCGAAGAGTCTGTTAGTCCTGTTGAAGTGTTCTGTGATGTGATCATCGATTAAACGTTCCATTACTTTTGACACCACTGTGAGTATCGCTACTGATCTATGGCTGGTGGCATTTTGCCTATGCCCACCCTTGAAAATAGGAGAAAAATGGCTCTTTCCAACCCCTTTGGCAGTTTCCCTGAATCCATTAGGTATTGGAACAGGTCGCACAGGTGCCTACAAATAGCTTCGCAGCACTGTTTCAGAACAGATGGCGTGATGCCGTCACAACTCGGGGAATTTCCAGATGTCAGTCCTTCTGACTTCCTTAGTGCAATTGCCCATTTTATTCGGAGCGAAGACACTAGGTTCTCTTTCGGCAAAATAGCGGTGCCGCCATGTTGGCCTACACGGGTTATACCCACATTGCCATTTAACCATTCGGCAAAGGCTGAACTGAATGCTTTGGTCATTACCAAACTAGTGAGGTGATCACCGTTTGAACCTAATAGTTGGCAGATTTCCCCTTCGAAATGAATCGGTGCAGGATTTTGTGGTTCACCGTTTTTTCGGCGGGGTTTGCCTGAAATGACACTGACTCTCGTGTTGCACTGGTTCCCGAGTTCCAGGTATGCATCGTGATCGGTCTGACTGTCGGATATCCACCATGCAGACCAAGCTTCCCGCTTATTTTGAAGAATACGTTGCCTACCTCTCTTCAGCCATGAGGATCTTTCCTTCGTCTGTGTCGTGACTAGACAGACAATATCTGAGATTGCTTTTTATCACTTCCCAGTGTTCGTCCACGGATAACTGAGCCCAGTCTATGGGCCATTCTGCGTTGGAAAAAATCTTCGCATTCCGGAACAGTCAGCTTTGCTGTAGCACAGACAGGGTCACGTAGCGTCCTACTTTAAGCGCTCATGAGGAACAAGATCAAGTCTTATGACTGCGTGGTCACTACTCCGTAGGGGGGTCATAATTTCAACATTTTGATTGGTAACTGGTCGCTGGTTATAATATAATCTAGTTTTGATGACTGTTCACTTGCGTCCCACTTGGTGTCCTCTCCAACGTCCTCAGTCAGTCCTGCATTTCGAATATACTGAAAGAAATTTTCCCGGCCCCCACCGAGCCAAGGCTGATGGATAGTGCATCGAAGTCTTCAAGTATGGCGATTTGGTCATGGCCCAGGTCTCGTTTCCCTCTGGTGGTGCTGAGCAGTAGTTGGTTGTTCTCTGTCCCACAGGTGAGTGATCGGCAGGTGCCATCCAGCGAATGCTTTGTATGTCTCACGGTGAAATGACTCTATATAGAGTCTGAGGGTTCACTAGGTAGTTGGTACGATGAACGCACACGTCTAGGTTGTTTTTCAAAGCATGTGTCAACCCCGCTTCCTTGTTATCTCTGCCCCGCCTGACCAGAACCAAATCACTCACACTAATTTCATTGTCGGCAATACTGTGGGTTAGTCAGTTTTCAGTCGGGATTGGTATTTTGAGGTGTATGCGTGACTGTACCTTTCTGAATTCACTTAGTTTTCCTCTCAGCCCTCCCACATTGCTTTACATTCGGCTGACAGTGATTCTCACAACCTCAGCGTGTTGTGGTTAGTTGACGCTGCGTAGGCTGCTGGTAGAGGATTTAAGGTTGGAACTAGTCGGTAGCTTCTGATGGAATTGGTTTGTTGCTGTTTTTTCCGTGGATTCACTTGGGTGGCAGTGGCTGTAATTCTCAGTACCGCACCGCTGCAGTGTCACTAGGGCTTGTAGGCGTATCGTTACCTCAGTCTGCTGCCTGCTTAGGTTTCGAGATCGGCTTTCGCAACATCGGATGTTACCCCATTTTACCCTTGTTCTTATACTAATGTTGCAGTGTTGGTATGTTGGTGTGATACAGAAATTAGTTCCAATGGAATATTATTCTCACATTGGAAATCATTGTACTTGTTGGTGTTAACGTCTGAATACTATTCCCGAAATTCAATAGCCCATTACCAACAGAATACTATATATGTATTTGAACATTCCATTTCATTTCGTTTACTGTAAACTCAAATCACACGCTCAGTGATTAGTAAAGGAATATAAAGCTATATATATAGCGGCTTGATCACTTGAAAATATACCTTCACTTCCGTGTCTTAACTTCTGCTGTTGCATTAAAGCCAACTGCTCCTGGGAGCTAAACTTGATAGTTAGTAACCTTGGGGAGCCAATCAGTGTGAGATGAGCTGGACGAGGTAGTGTGCAAATCGGGATTGTTCCAGAAGCACCAAGGGTCATCTGCGATGACAGCCATCACCATAGCTGTACGCCATGCATGTGTTTCTCACAGGTAGTACCAGTTTCCAGCTCCGCGAAACCGTGAGTGACCATGGAGGTATAGGACATCAGTTCCGGTGGCTCCTTCACGATTTGCTTGTTAGCCCACGGTCCATGATGTCTTATTCTTATGTTCGAACTGCTGATAGCTAATACTTGAGCATTCTTTCAGCCTCTTTGGTAGAGCCCAGTGTCACCCGTAACGGAGGTGGCTTACTTTGAAGTGCCTGAACACCCCTATAGAGTTTACACAATTTTGCTGAACTGATGTTCAGCCCTAATCTATAGCACAGTGTAGACCACTGTTCCCCAAAAAATAGAATTTTTGTTCAAGCAGACTACTATTGCATATTGATACATTAACCAGGATGAGGCAGTTCGCTCAACTGTCCTCAGACTTAGGTTTGGTCTTTGACTGCTTATTCTCCTTTGTGGGGTTGGTAACTTTAGACTGCATCAAAATCTGACTAATCCATATTATATTGCCGTTCTCACTAGCGGATACAAGTGGCAGTTCCAGCTTTCCCCGCCGTTCCAGGTGTCACTTTAAAAGTCTTCACTTTATGACGGTTGACATTTCTAGTCGATTGGATTGGAGTATCCTGTTTGTGTTTTTGACTTGGTTTTGATGACATGGTATTGTTAGGTGGGACGCCTTCGAGGTCTTATAACGTCTTGAGCGTTTCTATTTTGCTTTGCTGTGTGTGATACACTGGCTTCATGTGGATACAAGTGTAGTATCGTGTCCATTCTGTTTTGCCTGTGCGGCCATACTATTAGAACAGGGGATAAGTACATAGGTCTTAAGAACAGGTATGCGAGATCAAGTTAATATCCCACGGTTATTTCTTCCTCTGGCTGAAATCCTAGCCACTTTAGAATGTGGTATCCTAGTGCTCTTTTGAAGGCTTCAGCGTCCGTATCTCCAGTTGTTAAATATTACGCTTAAATATGAATAAAAGATAGCAACAGTACCTGCCCAATAAAAAAACCAAATAGACTGATAAAGTTGAAGGTATGAAA